GGGGAGGGGTTGGGTGATAGATTATGAAAACCATTTTGAAAAATTGCTGCTATTGTATACTCCTGTAGAGATGGGCCTCAGATAGCTTTTTAGGAGCATAACATTTGTCTGTTCACAATTTTCTGTTAAATTAATGGTGTGTTAAGTTTACAGTATGGCTGGAGCTTTGAGAAAAGGGGAAAAACATTTGTCAGAATTAAAGACGACCATTGTTGACTGTGTTAATGAGGGAGTTGTGACTCAAAGTTTCTAGGGGGGGGGGGAGACTCTTGCAAAGAATCCTTATATCCTTTTTGTGTTAATACCAGTAGTAGGATAATATGGAAAACTGACGGACAAAGAGAATTCTGTGGGGTGGCAATTACTGCTGAATGGTTTTCATGAATATTTTTGGGTTGAGTTTTCAGTCGAGGTTGCTCTTCTGCGTAAAGTAAAATAAAAATGAAATAACTTCGGGACTGGAGCAAAGAGAAGCAGTTGATGGTAGTGTTATTTGTGCTACGAGTCGGAATGAGCTCTCTTTATTTTTGTGCACTTCGTATTTCTGCCTTGCTCTCATGTAACGACATCGCCACAAATTGATACAGTCCAAGGTTCCTTTGTGTGTTGCTCGGGAATGTTTGAAGTTGGTCGGTTCAACCTGCATTTTTCTATTTTGACTGTATATGAGGGGGGGGGGGGATTACTAGCTGAACTATTGTGACGACTGAAAGGGAAAATAAATGAGTCTTCCTCCGAAAAGATAATGTGTGTGCACTGAGATGTGCAGTGAGATCATCCATGCTTGTGAAGAGTTTGAGAGAAGGTTGTGTGAAGTGTGAGAACTCACAGTGTGAAAAGTGAGACAGAAGATTGAAAAATGTGAGAGAAGATTGTGTGAAAGGTGTGAGAACTCACAGTGTGCAAATAGAGGAAATGTTTTGTGAAAAATGTGAGAACTCACTGTGTGAAAAGTGTGAGGACTCATTGTGTAAAAAATTTGAGAGCTGATTGTGAAAAATGTGAGAACTCACAGTGTGAAAGGTGAGAGAGAAGATTGTGTGACAAGTGTGAGAGCTCACTGTGTGTTTTCCCCTGTTTTTCTCTTAGTCTCTGCTCCACGATCCAAACCCCAATAGTCCTGCCAACAATGAGGCGGCACAACTGTACAGAGAAAACCGCAGAGAGTATGAGAAAAAAGTGGCAGCCATTGTTCAAGAAAGCTGGAACGATGACGATGATGAGGGAGAGGAAGACGAGGAGGAGGAGGAGAGTAAAGCCGGCTCATAGCATTCTGTGATAGTGGCCAGCCTCAGATGAAGTAATCTCCTGTGCCTAGGCGTGATTACAGGCTTTCTTTTGCTCTTATGTCCATATTTCTACATACAAACAAAACAAAAAAGTCCAAACAGTTTTTGACCTCTAGATCAGGTGACTCAGCAGTGGGGACTGCATCCCACTTGTCATTGTTTCTATTTTGCCGTGTTTTGTAAAGGTGTTGTTCTCGCCAAGCACTGAATTACCCCCTTGGTCACGAGTATGATGTAGCGCCCTGTCTCGGGCTGGTACTGGTGTTGGTGTTTGTAACCGGAGGGCGGCTCGTTCGTGTCCTCCGCGCATGTTTGTGGTGGGCTCCGGGGGGGCTCCCGAGTACCAGCTTGGAGATTGCGGCCGGTGCATGCTCTCGTAGGGAGGTTGTCGCTGCGTTGTGCGGGACAGCATTGTTTCTGTGAAGTATGGGTGATGTGCCGGAATACATTTTTCCAGGTACAGTTTTTTTTTTTTGACTTGTGAGGAGAGTGGGTGGAGAAAGGGAGGAGAGACTGGTGTGGTCTGGGTCTGGTGTGTAGAGTCCACAAAAGTGGACATAGCTCAGAGCTCCGAAATGAAAATCTTGGAAATGTGGACACGGCCTGGCTTTGCCCTCTGCCCCAGCCGAAATGATGCAAAGTTGACCTTTTCCCTTCGCTTTACTTTTTGGTTGATATTGCGTGAAACCTGCTAGCTCTGACTTGTTTATCATTATTTGATATATGTGGATATATATGGTTGGAACAACTTTGTCCAAACACTACCCATTGATCATGTCATATTAGTAAAACAATTTCTAGTTAGTTAGTTTTCACTATACATTGAAGTTGTTTTATGATGAGTGTGCCAATGATTCTGTGTCCATAACAGTGGAATGTGTTTGTTCCAGTCCCTTCTAGATGAGCCCAACCCCAACAGCCCTGCCAATAATGTAGCAGCTAAGCTATACCAGGAAAATCGTAAAGAGTATGAGAAAAAGGTCAAGGTCATTGTGGAAGAAAGTTGGATCTTCATTGGGGAAGTGTGAGTGTCCATGTGGAAGAGAAAGAACGTGACCAAGTTGTTTTTTTTTTTTATGGTTCATCTGTTTTTGTTTTGTTTGTTTGTTTTTTTTGTGCTTTTCATCAGCGATGCACTTCATTGTGGCCTACCATGTTTTGGAATCTGATGTTGTTGACTTGTGCGTTCATAACATTGTCGTTGACTCTGTGCTCCATGAGAATTTGCTTTACTTTTCTGGGCCTGTGAGTAGATTGGGGGGGTGGCTGTGTGGTTTTGTTTTTGCTTACAAGACTTTCCTGAAAAAAATTGTTTAGTTAGTAAAATTTTAGGCTATTGCATTTTAAAAAAATGTTGAGACATAAATGTTAGAAAAAGCCACAAAACTAACTTGTTTGTATTTGAGTTTTTGCAATCATTGCATCTTTGCACTATTGAAAAGGGCAGCAGAAGTGTTGCCACAAAGTTCTGCTGTTGTATCGTGTTGATACCAGCTGAGAAGAATTTTTTAGCGTCATTTATCCAGATTGGAAAGTGCCTCACAACCTGTCCCCCTTTCTCTACAACTGTACTGGCTCATGGAAGGGAAACGGTCGTCTGGCATTTCTTTCCATATTAAGAGAAACGCATCCTTCCCACACCCACATTTATATATATAGATAGAGGCCCATTGATACATCCCTCTCATATGCATATATATATCATGTATAGATATATATACACAATGGCCTACAGTGTTTTCCTCATCATATGCTGTTTATACCTATGGCAAGTTACGGCTTGCGGCAGGAAATGGCGAGTGTGAGTATTAAGAGCTGATCACTGAGGAAAATTGCCACCTTGGATTGAAACGATCCTAACCCTTTGTTGATGATATTTTCTACATATTTATTCTCCCCCCCCCTCCCCCCAACAAATTGTCCAATTTGAAAGTACTTAGTACTCTTTATAAAAAGTTTGTGGTTCTCCTACTAGAGGTTTGAGTGTGGTTCTCACGTGAGATTTGAGGTGTGTGCTGGATGCAGCGCTGTGTTGTGCATGAAGAGCCTGGTTATCACAATTTTATGATTGGAAGACAAATGTCCATGTAGTATTGCTTTTTTTAACCCTTTGTTGGAAACACATAGTTGCCCTATGTTCACAGACAGTGAGAGAAGTGCCACAGTGTCTTTCCTGTCCACATGAAAATGTTGTCAAATCGAATTTTTGAAACGTCCCAGAGCTCTGATCTTTTCTGTGCTCCGGTAAATGCTTTTGTCTTATTTTGAACTTTTTGAACATTTTGAACATTTTCAAACTCTTTTCACATTGCTTGGATGAGGTTTGACAATATTATCATTTTACCGAGTTATTCTTTGCCAACAACGGAAGGAACGACATATCGTAAAGGAGTGGGCTCAGTATCTCGGTGCGTGTGGCAGTATCTCGATGAGTGTGCCACAACGGTCAAGCGTCAGTATGGGCTGAATCTTCTCCTTCTACTGTTGTGACAAGATACAGTGGAGTCCGCATTAACTGAACACATTTCATTCGGGGGAAAAAAGGGATAATCTGAACTCGAAGAAAATAAAATCTACTGATTTTTTTTTGGGGGGGCCTCTATTTCAACATCATCTCTAAACCGGGAAACCTGGCTCATCCCAAGAAAATCTGATGGTCATGGAGATTTTTGCTTTTAAGCGGACTCCACTGTATCTCTGGACCTGTGAAAATTCAGTAATGAATAGAACTAGTTAGGCAACCATTAAAATGTTAGAAAAAATATGTAAAAAGTAAAATCTCTTTCTCCCGAGATAAATGTTTGCCTGTTTCAGCCCTATTCTGATTCCTGTACTGATGTAAGTAAATCAACTAGCTTTTGAGATGTGTCAGAAAGTCTTGTCGTAATCGTCCCATTGCCCCAAAGTGAAAGCTGTACTGTTTGTTTTCTTCACATGATCCTCAATCCAAGCCGAGCTACACCAAATATTTCTGGACAACTGTGGCGGGTGATTGGTCAGTCGTTGTTGTGCTATTTTGTCACAGAGGATGTTCGTCGTTTGTCTTCTTTAATTTTCCGGGAAAACTTTTGTCATGATCTTATCGAAGGAGTTTTGTCCTGTTATTTGCCTTGAGTCAGGTCCTGTCTTGTTGTGGAACTTGGAAGATGATTTTGAGTACGCTATGTGTGTGAAGTAGGAAGATGATTCCTTGAGTTCTTGAAGTTAAGGTTTTCTGCGGCATGCAAGATTGATCAGCTGTTTTAACTTTCTCACCTGTATTTCTTAATTTCCTGTGCGTGCACAAGGTCATAAAATATATATGCTCGGCGTGGGTTACTGTATGACGTGTCGGTTGTCATGTTACGGTGTTGTCGTGTGTGTGGATGGCATCGTGTCTACCCCGTGGGAGACTTGGGAGGACAAAGTCCATCCTCGTCCAGCCCCCTCATCGTCTCATCTCCTTCTTCTGTACACATGTATGTTGTCGTTGGAAACAAGCCGAGAACGGTCATAGTATAGATCCACGTTGGTTTGGATTCTTCTTTTTCACCCCCGTCATTGTTATTAAGATATTTTGAAAAGAAAAGTAAATTGTACTGGTGGCTTGTTTCTCTCCTGTGTTACAGCATAATTGTACAAATGTAATAAAGGTTGTAAGATTACAGTGCATTTCATTCCTTTGTTCTTGTTTGTTTCTCACTTGGGATTATTATTATTATGGGTGGTTGGAGGGCGCCACTGGTAGGACCTGCTTCTTTTTTTCCCCTCTGTTGTTGTTTCTGTCTATGCGTATTGCTTCTTCTGTGCACTATATGGCCATTATAGTGTGGATGTGTTTCTCTCGTCAAACTGCTGCTCCATGTGACCGTTATATTTATAGTGTGGATGTGCTCCTCTCTACTAAGACCTGTGCACTGTATGATTATAGTTTTGTACAGTAATAAGTGTACATTGATAGACTATATTTGCTTCTCTCTACTCGAACCTCAAAACATCTGTCCTATCCATCTCAGCTTAACAAATTTGACTAAAAGAGTGTGTGTAGAATGGGGTTTTAAAACGGTGTTTTTACACACAAACCCCCCCTCCCAACGACACAATTTAGATTTATAGGAGGCTGGCTTCTGACCTCTGCCTGTCTTTGCCAACTTCGGCTAAGACCAAGAGGAATGCAAAATACAGTAGCCCAGCAATACGACCCAGATGCGTGACAAAAATTTCTCCCCTCTCCGGTCATCGAATTCATGTCTCCCGTGTGCGACGTGAAGTGCCTAACTGCTGCACCACAGACACCTGGGTCTGGAATGGATATATTTTTTTATAGCAGAGGGTTTTACGGCGCTTGCAACTGCATAAGGTCATATGAGCGCCAAGGGGTGGGTGTCAACAGAGAAGTCTTTACAGGGAATCAGACTTAGACTGCTCGCCTCTCTAGCTTCAACAGCACAAGGTCTGCTTCGACTATCAAGGCACCCCGGAAATAGCAGGTCACAAGAGAGTGACAAACATACCAAAGAAGTATGAGGAAAATGACAATAGTAAGGATCAGGAAAGAAAAAGCAGCAGTTCCCCGTTGTAGATCAGGCACAGTTATGAGCGTGACATGAGTCAGCCCATTTACTATTCTACTATGCTTGAACGAGAAATGTCCACCCTTTGGGAATGGCCTAAAGACACTACAGTCAGTGGCACTGCCCCAGGGGTGGAATGGATAACCTTGTACGGTACTGATAAAGTTGTTGATGTAATTGAGTCACGTATGAAGGCGAAGGTACATGTACTTAGTAACCCCTTCGTTGACTAAAGACGTGTGTGGTACGTCATGTCCTCGATCAATAGCAACAACAAATGGGTGATTGGTGGGTGCTCTGGTGTGGTTTGCTCCTTATTTCCTATCAAAAGCTATCACCCTTCTCTCTCCTCCTCCTTTTTTGTGTTTGTTACTCTCTTGTAACACCTCTAATCTTTGGCACTTATATAACCTAATTGTGTTGCAAGTGCCGTTAAACTCTTACTTAAACTAAAACCAACAACAACATGATAGATCCTGCCCTGGATCAATTACAACAACATAGTACGTCATGAATTTTATTTTTCTTACATCCACCCTCTTTACCTGAAAATAATAACAGCTTGTCTGACAGAACATCCGCACAGGAGAATATTTCTCCAGCGAATTATTAGAAGACTTGAGGCTCCTGCTGTGGCCCATGAGACCAATTCTGGCAGAGAAAAGGTATTTTTAAAAGCTCCACTTCCACATATAAATGGATGTGCGCGGCTTGCAGCTTCTATATTGAAAAGGATAGATGATTACATGTAATACATAGATGTCTCTGACTTGCACAAAGGTTTTGTTTTAATTTTAAATGAGAAAGAGCAGCTCAAACATCAGACTCTCTCTCTCTCTCGCCAAAGTGCAATGTATCTGAAGGCACGATTAAAAAAGACATCAGTCAGCTACTGTATAGGTGAAAAGAAGATAACCTCCCGCATATCTCTACTCTTAGTTTAGAAATCATTTAATGGAGCCTTCAATTTCATTCTCAAATGAAATTTTAATCATCAAATCACAGCACACCTTCTTACTCTTACAGAGATGCATTTTATGTACTTTCTGTAGTACACACAGCAAAGCATATCTGATGTACACACAACATACCTACACACAGCACACCCTCTCAGACACAGCGAACCTTCTCTGATGTACACACAGACAGCACACCTTCTCTGATGTACACGCTTAACACACAGCACACCTTCTCTGAAGTACACACTTAACACACAGCTCACCGTCTCTGATGTACACACATTTGTTAACTCACTTAGCTTAAAATTGAGCTGAAAAAGGTGCCAAGACAAGATCTACAATTTAAGGCCACTTATTACTTTTCACCTCACACAGATTACAAAGAAGTAGTTAGGTGAGAATACAAAAATAGCTACTATGTATTTATACAATGTATATTTTTGTAAAGTGTAACAATACATTTTTCAGTTAAACTCTTGATGTGATGAATCATTGAGTGTTATATTGTACAGTGCAGCCTCATAACGACATCATTAGGACCAGAAAAAAATGTCGTTATAGAGAGGCAACCAAAAATATTACTTACTAATGATATATAATATTGGGACTTGGGCACCATGTCGCTTTACAGAGGATGTTGTTATATCGAAGGTCGTTATAGAGAGGCTGCATTGTATAATATGACAATAATAATATTCTTTGTAGTTTACGCTCTTTTGGAATTACAAGCAAAATACAAACCACGCTTTTAAGAAAGTTCTCAAATCGGTGCAATTCTACATGTATCGGTATCAGGCAATGATGTAATTCTACACGATATATCTTGCAATAATGTGTCCTGCATACAAGTTTACCAATAAATCAACTTTAAATATTACATCAATACACATCTGTACAAAGTTTTGTACCACTTTCACCAATACTCTGATAAAACTGAGGAAAACTTACAAAATAACATTGACTGTGGTGATAATTTGTTCTACATGCAAAAATATTTTGACCAGAGAGAAAAAAATAAATCTTTCTAAAAAAGACAACAACAAAAATGCGGTGGTGCCGGTAATACAGTATATACCACTAGCAGGTACAATGTAATACATTTGGGCACAGATTACACAAACACAGAAAACTCAAAATCATCGACAGCTCGTATAATTTGCTTTTTCTCAACTGACATCTCTTTTAATTTTTTTATTATCGGTTTACTCAAATTAGGGATATGTCAAAACAAATTTATCAATCCCCGGCGTGTTTGAATTATATCTAAGCTCGACTGTATATAATAACGAAAATGGCCAGTACTCAGTTCCTGGATGCTCTGACTTCTCATCCTCAATAACGCAGCCAATATATGTAAATTGTGAGGCAAACTAAAACACAACCAATATTCGTCGTGAGGCAGTAATTATGCGTCACAGTAAAATAACAAGTGAAACTTGGAGAAGAATCACAGAAATCGATGTAGGCCTACAGAAAAGTGGGAAGACATGGAATAACATCAAGAGGCTAGCCCAGGATGGAGAAAGGTGGAAAGTGTTTGTCCGTGGCCTATACCCTGGTGCAGGGTGAGAAAGGCAATGATGATGATGACAGTTAAACACAATCTACTGATGGTTCTTTCACCAACATTTCAAAGCTTCACATATATATATACATACATGTATATTTCCCACAAGTCCTTTGTAAATGACTGATCTGTTGTTATAATTATAGACCTAGGCCTACAAACTGTGTATTCATGTCAACATCTTGTAGGGAGAAATTTAGGAAGCAGTAAGATCGTCATAATTACAAAGTGTTCCTTTTAATCACACCTGCAATTAATCTTAAAGAAATCAATTGCATAAATCACAGATTATTTCTTTCTTTCAAAAAGAAACTTCCGTTGTGTAATAAACTAATGTTTCTGATCAATAGCAATTTTCATGACAAAGCATTCTAATAACACTACCAGACACACATAAAAGTTTCAAAGTCGAGCAAGTGGTCAAGGTTCAAGTCTTGTTGGCGTTCAGTTTCTGTGTCCTCTCAATCCGAGCCTGTTGTGTGGCAGCTTCAATCCTCGCAGCACTCAGCTGGCTCTGTACCGCATTCTTCTCCTTCACCTGATCAATTTCCTCCTGGAAGTACGTCTTCCTACACAATGGAAGTATTCAAGGAATGCTCATTATTTTATTTAATCTCTTACAAAAGAAACTATTCCAAATATAAAAATTTACTAACTGAAAATTATTTTCACTGCACGGCATGCTGTAAAAAGTAAAAATTCACCAAAAGGAGTTCAAAAAGTAAAATGATAATGGTTCTATTAGTAAGACTTGATGAAATAAAGTGTTGAGAATATTACTTGTCTTACTTGTCCACTGTGTTGGGGTCACTGCAGTGTTGAGAATACATACAATAAGTAATAATTTTGTATTTCACTTGAACTTATCACCAACAAAAAGATAAAGCAGAAGATCTGGAGGCTTTTCACATTTAATCACAGTTTGTCTCATAGCTTATAACATGAAACAGTGTGTTACTGTTTGTCTCAATGTCTCATAGCTATAACATACAGTGTGTTACTGTTTGTCTCAAAGTCTCATAGCCATAACATACACTCAGTCAGTTTGTCTCAACTCGGTGTCTCATAATAACGTACACTGAGTTCCCTTGAATCCTGACAGAGGTACTTATCATGTAGGCCTACATTGTGCAACAGTACAGACCTACTGTGATCTGGAAAAAGTATCTATTCAAATCTCTATCCAGAAGGAAAGTTGCGAGCGCCGTAAAACCTCTACTAAAACTAAAAAATCCAGCAGGAAAGGAGTAATAAACAACCTCGATCATGAAATACAAAATTTGAAAGTGAATTCAAATGAATGTTGGAATGGATCTGTGCTCTCAACTCACTCAGATCATACCAGAAACTGAGAAACAAAAATCTCTCAACAAGAAAGCCACTTTATTCATCACAATCATCTCGGGGAAAAGAGCTCTCCAAGTCCTCACATTACTTTTCACAGTGCAGATTGTCAACTGTCCCCCACATGACACACAGCAATGAGATTGTTCAATCTCTGTTTCTTCAAGATACCCTTGAGGGTGGTTGGCAGATGATCTCAGGTGGGGGGGGGGTGTACAAGAAGGTTTGACAGTATTTCCACTAAACCTCTACAATCACTGGCATTCACACTCACACTCACACTATTGCCATACACGGGGAAGGAGGGGGGAGGGGAAGTGCTGTACTGACACTATTGCCAATTGCCAGACAAGACATTTTTGGAATCCCTCACCTGTAGGAGAACGCTGTGAAGTAGGCAGCCAGGCAGGCACCAAACACGATAGGATAGCGCAGGATTTGCCACGTGCTGAATGCCCTTTTAACCATGGTGTACCTGGTTCAAGGAGTACCAATGGTAGATACTATAGGCCTGTTGATATATAAAATGAACAAAACACAACATCTTTGTACAATTATTATTTGCTGCTAAAATAAGTTTTTTCCGTATTAAACGCACATCTTTGGCCATGACTCTGGTGGTATCTAAGTTTTCAAAGAAAAGTTACCTTTGAATATTTTGATAGAAAACGAAAATTTAAGCTGAATTAATCTGTTAATCATGACTTAGCATTTGTCCTCACCAAAAGATGTGGATTCAATGGGTGGTGTAGACTTATAGGACCTTATATCACACTATACATAATGTATAGAGTCAATAAATACACATGGGGTGATGTTGTCGGGAGTGAAAAAAAAAGATCAACTCATCCGAAGTTTAACTTAACCATTGAGACCTGTAAAGAAGAAGAGGTGCTGGGACCCGAGAAGAAGATCAACTTAACCAAAGATCAACTGAAGCGAGTTCAACACAAGTGGACTTGACAATAATGTTATACATAGACATGTCTATGTTCTTGATGAAAAAACCACCAACATCTTGAAGAAAAATCATATACTGTGAAACCTGTGTAAAACGGCCTCCCATTGTCAAGTAGAACAGTGGCCGTATAACACAGGCAGCCATGCAGGCACCAAACACGACAGGATAGCGCAGGACTGATCAAAATGAAGAAAGTAAACCATTCTCTTCTGAGGTCCAAACCGAGGCAGATCTCAGGCTTTGGATTGCTGTAAGTTGTAAGGCTAATTCAAAAGGGTATTTGTTCTCTTTTGAAAAAGCAGGAGGGTGGGTGGTGTAAGAAGGGTTTTGTTGTTTTATTTTTTTGGTTAGCTTTTCTTTGTTATTGATTTTGTGTAAGGGTAAAATAAACAAAATATTACGTAAGACAATGAAGACCAAGTGCCATGGTAAAACAAACACATGGGTCGCCACCACTCAGAGAATGAGCGACGCTTCTGTAGCAAGTTCACGTCAACATCCACTGTCACTTTGTTACAGATTAGGTTGACAAAACAGCGTGACCTCACACACGATTTGTGCATGAGTTGTGGGCGGGGCTTATAGGTTACAACGGATCACACGCTTCCCTCACCAGCAGTCGAAAATTTATTGTTACCCATTGGTCACCTTGGTAAACATTCATTGGAGGGACTTACAATAAAAGCAGGTGAGTGGATTATGATGGCCTGTCCACAGCATCAGGGGCCGATTAAAAATTTAAGGCAAAGGGTCAGGCTATGGGTGACCACGCCTGGCCATCTGAGGCAGGTACATTAGACCGTGGGTTGATGATAAAATAAGGTGGCTGTGGCCATGTTGGACAGGTGACCGTTTTACACAGTTAAGTTATATAGAAAAAATGCAAGGTGGAAAGTGGCCGTTTGTACAGGTGGCCGTCATGGCAGGTTTGGCTGTATTTGTGTTTGAAGGAAGAGGAAGTCCCTAAGTATCAGAGGTAAAACAAGTGAGAAAATGACAACTAAAGTTTGGTGACTTTCAAAGGTCCTTGAAAACAGCAAATTTACAATTTGTGTGCCTTTGATCAACGTTGTTCACTAAAATCCACACAGTTTAAAGTGTTTTGAAAAGTACATAAAAGGTGTTGAGCCCAAAAAATAAAATTTCATCAAAATTGCCCAACGGGTGGAAAATGCGTTTTTATTTTATTCCGTCATTTTGACGAGCACCTGATTCACCACGATGCCACATACATGTAGTCTGTGGTCCACTCATAGACAAATCCAGAGTCCACCACATAGAGACACACTGAGTGAGTGAGCTTTTTTTGGTAGTTCCCACTCCGCAATTCTTATTCGCCGGTTTTGGCCCCAAGAGTAGGAGGGTTTCAGGGGGGCAAGCCCTGACCTAATAAAAATTTGGTAGGGGGTTTCTGGGGGGCATACCCCCCTGAATTTTATCATAATTTGATGTTTTGCAGTTGTTAGGTTTGATATCTTAGCTCACCACGCATCAAACGTATAGATCTTGATGTAGATCTAGGGTCTAATAAGGGGGGTGAGAACTACCGAAAAAGCACCCTTTTTCGTAACAGATTTGAAGATGGAAAATTGATGGGCATTTTGGTTTGATGTTAGCAGATTTTGGGGGTACTATGTATGTATTGTACTAAGTAAGTCGTACTTTGTAGGGAACATTAAAACTAGGAAAAGTGATGGCAAAGAGGGTATAGGTCTAGCTGACACTGACAAGATAGATATCTAGATATCTAGTCCTTTAGCCTCTAGATATTTTATCTAGACTCTAGATCTAGATATCTAGATCTAGAAATCTAGATTCTATATCTAGATCCAGATCTAATATTTTTAAATATTTTTCTGCTAGGCCTAGAATCTAGATCTAGATCTAGAATCTAGATTCTAGATTAGATCTAAATATAGATCTAGCCCCTTCTAGATCTAGATTTTGACTGTTCGTGAATTTATATTGCATTGTATATTTTTAGTGAACACATTTTCAACCTCACTGCGAGACTGTTTTTCTGGTATAAAATTTTACACATATGCATTTATATCATATGTATAATACTTTGTTTTACGTACACATTTGTGTCGATTAATTTTTAAGATGTGATGTCTTTTTCATTGTAATGCGCATTGAGCATCTTTTAGGAAATGGAAATGCGCAGTATAAATGCTATTTATTATTATTATTATTAGATATAGATATAGATCTAGATCTACTTGATACATGGGGAACGCTGAAAAAAAAGTTGCAAGTATGGACGTGATCTTGTATTATTATAGTTTTATATTAAAACAATTTCTGTCAAATCTGGATACCAGATGAAGTGGAGGTAATATTTTGAGCTCAATCCGTGTACAGATTGACTTGACTTGAACTTGTTGATGATTCTCTGCACTCAGCACCCAAACAAAACGACCCCGGTGATGCTGTCAGTTTTAAAAGTATAAAACAAAATCGTAACCGTTGCCCAGAAATATTCGTTGATTTCTTGGAAATAGTATAATTAATATTATCGTGAAGGCTGATCTGAACGATTTTTCCCTCAAAAATTATTTTCTAGAGTTTAAAAAATGTATTTTTCAGTTGATACAAGGTAAAACTCTGCATTTTGATAGGAGAAATTGCACTGTTAACTTGTGAAGTCTTTCGTCTCTAAAGTTCCATTGTCACGGATATTATTAGGGCCTATAGTCTGGAGTCGAGTCGATTTTACTTCACTAAAATAAGTTCCCAGAAATTGTCAAATATGTTGACATATTTTGTCAAGCTAAGGAAAGGCATGATGTTTTAAAGGGATAAATGGCGCCCAGTGAGCTTGCTTAGTTTTCCTTCTTGACTTCTGGATGCTTTTTCATTATCCCCCACACAACTGACATCTACAATCTACTCATATTATCTATGGTTTTGACCGACTTGATCAGGAATCCACATTGCCAATAAGGACTAAAATAGTATGATTCGATAATTAGCTATTGGCGATTTTAAAATCCAAGATGTCCAATTTTGAAGCATGAAAGTGACAGATAGTTTTGTTTGAAGCAGCTAATTTATTCAATATCAAATATTCTTGCTCAGATGCGGATATGTCTAAACATAAAAAGAAGCTAAATTTCAACCAGGAAATGTTCCTGGCTGGTGTTTCCGTTTTTTCCCCTTCTTTTCTTTGCTGGTCACGCCATGAAACGAGAGAAGACGAGAGTTGAGATTACAATGGCGATGTAATTGACGACATTGTTGTTTACAAAAGGAAAGGCTCATAACAATGACACACTGTGCTTGTTGAGCTCATGAAACTTCGTAGTCTGAGTACGATTCTGTTGTGTTTTAATATTTCGTATGAGTTCTTCCAATACCAACAGTTCACTGGACGGACAACAGTCCGCGAGGTAAAGTTCTTTTTACAACAACACACCATGACATGACACTCTGCTGACACAGCCACAGCACACCACACACACACACTCTGATGTCTACTGACACTCGACTTTTTTTCACTGCTTTTTAAATGTTTTGTTGTTGTGTTGTTTGATTTGTATTCTTTAGATGTAAATTTAGAGCTGAGATTGAGAGTTAAAACCTCGATATCTTGGCCCAGAAGCAAGGTCTGGATCTAAAAAAAATGACTGATAAGATAAATGTCTGGATTCGGGACTTTTTAGTATTTTTAGATCCGACACTGATCCGTGCTGTCCATTCCTATTTAGTTTAGAATTTAAATTTAGACTTCGACTTTTGTTCTTGCAGTCTAATATTAGTAAGATTCTAGTTGTGAGATGGATCAAGGTTAAATAATTTCCTTAGTGTGTGAGAGTGTAATAGGGGTGCTTTTTCGGTAGCTTGCCCCCCTGACCTGCCTAATAAAAATATGAATTTTACCATAATTTGATGTTTTGCAGTTGTTAGGTTTGATATCTTAGCTCGCCGCGCTTCAAACGTATAGATCTCGATGTAGATCATCTCAGAAAATTGGATCTGCCATCGCTGTACTATCGGAGAGCTCGACATGATTGAATGTTACAAGTATTTAACAGGAATTTACAACGTAATGGGAGACATTTTACCCCGCGATCTACACTCTAGCACCAGGGGACACAGTCTAAAATATAAAAAAAACCTTGTGAAAACAGCAGTCCGCCAAAACTTCTTCAGTGTACGCACAGTTAATGCTTGGAATTCCCTTCTGGAAAATGTGGTGAGATACCATCCTTGAATGCTTTCAAGAATAGGATTGACATGGTCTGGAAGGCACATAAATTCTCTATGAACCTAGATTGGTTTCAAACTGCCAGATCCATGTGCCATGAGCACTAACCTACAGATACCAGAGTGTGAAAACAACGAGCAGGAAGGAACAAGCAATGAAAGCAACGAACGGCTGATAGGCGACTAGCCTGACCACAGCCTTACTTCATACTACTACTACTACTACTACTAGATCTAGATCTAGGCTCAAATAAGGGGGGTGAGAATTACCGAAAAAGCACCTACTAAGTTAGGCTTGATAAAAGAATTTGGTAAATTTTTACTTTCACTCCCACACACTGATGCACTTCATCGTTGGTCAAACTGCGGTAGGAAGGACTTCCGTAACGAGCAACCACCCCAACAAACACAATAAAGAAGAGGCTTAACCCTAACCCTAGATCTACCCCTAGCCCTCAATTCTACTCTGTCTCATAGTGGTCGCTCGTTACAGAAGTCCTCCCCTGAAGTACTGTTTGCTGCAGATCACATATAAAGCCACTAAAAGTGTCGCAAATCAATTAATCAAAAAAAAATTCAAATCTATTTGTAAAATATCACATTATGGGTTAAAACAGTGGGGGCACGCCCCCCCTATAACCTCCCAGATTTTCTTTTGCCCTTTAGGGCCTCCCTAGAACTCCCCTATTGGTCCAAAACACATCTATCTCTATTCAGAACAATCAGATATTTGCGATGGAAATGAAGTAGATATTCATGTTCATCGCATCAATTAATATTTAGGCCTAGCAGAAAATGGACAAAGTGTTAGACGGGAGGGAAAGTAAAAAAAATACCTAGATTTCCTTCTCGGCCTCTTCTCTACTTTTATTAGAATACTCTCAAAATCATCATGTGGACTGGATTCATGACTTGATATGTCTAACTAAACTAAAGGGGAAAGGCCTACTGACAATGAAAGAGTAATTGTGGGTGTTCTGTGGACATAGTTGGCTAAACATCTCAAGAAATGAAGGAAGCATCATATTTTTAAATTATAGGCTTAATATTTTATTTACTAGGCTTAGCCTTAGGCCTACAAAGTACAATTCATAACAGAACACCCTGTCTTCACAGACAAAAAGGCTTTTAAAAAAAATTTATAGAAAAGGTCCAAACCCACTTTTATTTAATACTATTTTTTGGCACTGTTTTACTGTTTTTTCGTGTGCTGAGAACGATTTTAACACCAAAAACTGTCGCAGGTATGCCCCCTTGCACCCCCCTTTTATTGGGGTGCGTCTGCGCAGTATTATTGGAGAAGGAAATGGGAAACAATCAGCTATATTCAAACCATTATAATGTCTCAAAAATCATACATTTGCGAAAGTTTTGAGTTGCATTTCCTAAATCAGAAAGCAAAAATACATGGAAAAGACATGAAACAGGATTTGGACCATTTCTATAATAATACCCTTATTTTTTTCAATTTATTTTGAGAAAATTGCCCTTTAAAAGTTAAAAGTTAAAAATACAAATTATGTATTCAACAGGTATGTCTACCTGTATGTCTACCTGTACCAACCGCCACTTTCACATTCCCCACTCCCCCCCCCTTGCTTTTTTTTCTCTATATATAATTATAATTTCACTGTAAAATGGTCCCCTGTCCAATGCAGCCGCGACAACCATGTTTTATCCACCAACAACCAAAAATCCTGCCTAAGATGGTCAAGTAAATCTTTAATTTCCTGACGCTTTGTCATGAATTATGTATTGGCACGTTTTGTTTTGTTTTACCTGTGCACCCTGTGTTCCTCACTTTGTAGAATTGAACACTACAGCAGTAGCGAGACTTCATCTCTCTGTGTAAACAAAAATGTTTCACATTATATTCAGATAAATTCAGACACTGATGATGGCATCAACGAAGAAATTGTAACTCACGTCCTAAGACCACAACCAACTCCAGTTGGGAACACAGAAGGGAATGTTTAAAAAACACAACCCAAAAAGCCCAAAGAAAGCCGTGACCTATTAAATGACAGGCGAACACCGTACCTCTAGGCCACGAGAGCCCCCTACCCACCCCCATCTCCTCTCAAAAAAGAAAAAGATTAAAGATTAATTAGCCTAATGGTAGTCCTCGTCCTCTAACCACCTCTGGTTGGAACCTCACAAAGGAATGATTTGTTGTCTTCATTTTCATCAGTTCTGCTTAAAAGATGGTCATTTTTCTCCTGGACAATGGGTGTTGGTGGTTGGTGGGTGCTTCAGTGTGGTTTGCTTCTTCTTTCCTCTTTCCCATCAAACGTCTGTCGTCTTTATCTCCCCTCCTTTTTTTAATGTTTGTTACTCTCGTGTAACACCTCTAATCTTCGGCACTTATATGACCTTATTGTGTTGCAAGTGCAAGTGCTATATAACACTTACTAAAGAATCGACAATGGGTGGCCGTCTTAAACTGGTTCAGCTGTGTTTATACCTATATATGGTCCTACCAAAGGACTTGAGCCATCGCCCTTGTACTCATAGAGAGACAGCATGTTTTAATAGACAGCATTTTCAGAGTTTTTATCTTTAAACAGTGTCATAAGCCTATATTCTTGATTTTTCTGACGGTATTGTTTATTGATGGTTTTAATCCCAACGATGGTTCTAATTACAACTCCTTTTGCTCTCTCACTTATGACTTTAAAGTTTTTGATATTTTTATTTTTAGACAGGTTTTATATTGAATGGTATATTTTTCTCAGCAGTCTATTTGTTTTGGCTTCTTTTGCTGCAAATTTTCTCAGTGTTCTAAAGTATATTCAGTTTTTCATTCAAAACAGTGATCTTTCAGGATAGATTTTTATATTTTTTAATAGAATATTGTGATTGTGTGACCTATATCTTTATTTCTTTGATTTCAGTGACCTGAGTGTAGAAAATCTCATCAACCGAAGACTTTCCCCACCGCCGGAAAATATGTATGTAATTGATTGTGTTATTATTTTAAAGTTATGAACTTTAAATTTGTACAGTTATAGTTTCATTTTTTTCCCTTTGTGAGATGTAGTTTTGTCTGGATTTTACTTTCACAAAGGGTTCTTTAACAAGCACAACTTGCACACTGGAACTCCATGATTTTTTAAACCATTTTTCAAGAAGGCTAGATGTTAGATCTTACCCTCCCCTAAGATCAGAAGTGTGGCTGAAAGACAGCAGTAAGAAGGAGCCAGGAGAAAAAAGAGTCAGGAGCCCAGAGGAAGGAAAAGGGTGGAGGAGAGAAAGAGTAGAAGCAAAATAGAAAGAGGGAGAGAGAGAGAGAGAGTAAATTTGTGTTTCTATCTTTGATGAGTGTACACTTATGGTAAATGTAGCATTTTTTGATGCTCAAGTCATTTACATTTTAGATATTTCTGAAGATTCTTCTGCTGGTTCTTCTTACAAATGTGAGGCGTGCTGTCAAAATGAGTAGCTTCCCGCAATCGAAGACGGGAGATATCTGCAGAAAATCAACACTGGGGTCAGATTGATAGATTTGTTATTGATGCCATTTTGTTCAAGTCTACTGTGATTTTTAATATTCCATATTTACCAATTGTACAAACTCCCCCCCAAAAAGTTAGTGTATTAATTTCCATAAGTCTAAAATTCGAGAAGTAACTCATTTTGTCAACTCACCTCATAAATATACATTTGAACTTTTTACGCCTCCCCAGGAAACGAGCTGCGGCAAAACAGCTGATTGAACAGTATTACTATCAGCTGACGGAGGGGTGTGGGGACGAAAACTGTACCAATGAAAATTGTGCTTCCAGCTCCGACTTTCAGTTCCGAGATGCCAACCGCAACAAACTGGCCCTGGAGGCCATCAACCTGTCCAAGAGCAAGGCCCCGCTCTGTGAGCGCCGGCCCAACAAGCTGTCGCGCTACCCCACGCAGGAGGAAGGCGCGGCGTCTTCGTCCACTGCCGCGTCGGCCGGGGAGCCCGTCGGTCAGGGGGCCAGAAGTAAAATAGCCTCCCCTACGTCCTGCTCCAGTTCCACCGATGTTGCTGCTGAAGCTGTCTCTGCCTGTAGCAGTAGTAGTTCTTTAGGTAAGATCTCTGCCCGTAGCAGTAGTAGTTCTTTAGGTAAGATCTCTGCCCGTAGCAGTAGTAGTTTTTTAGGTAAGATCTCTGCCCGTAGCAGTAGTAGTTTTTTAGGTAAGATCTCTGCCCGTAGCAGTAGTAGTTCTTTAGGTAAGATCTCTGCCTGTAGCAGTAGTAGTTCTTTAGGTAAGATCTCTGCCTGTAGCAGTAGTAGTTCTTTAGGTAAGATTTCTGCCCGTAGCAGTAGTAGTTCTTTAGGTAAGATCTCTGCCCGTAGCAGTAGTAGTTCTTTAGGTAAGATTTCTGCCTGTAGCAGTAGTAGTTCTTTAGGTAAGATCTCTGCCTGTAGCAGTAGTAGTTCTTTAGGTAAGATCTCTGCAGTAGTAGTTCTTTAGGTAAGATCTCTGCAGTAGTAGTTCTTTAGGAAAGATCTCTGCCTGTAGTAGTAGTTTTTTAGGTAAGATTTCTGCCTTAGTAGTAGTAGTACTTTAGGTAAGCTCATAGTTATCTCACAGATTGGTTCATAGTTTTATCTCACAGATTGGTTCATATTTACCTCACAGATTGGTTCATAGTTTGCTCAATAATTGGTTCATAGTTATCTCGCAGATTGGTTCATAGTTTGCTCTCGGATTGGTTCATAGTTTGCTCTCAAGTTGGTTTGGTTCGTACTAGTTTGCCAGGTTGTCCCTGAGAGAGGATGGTCCTCTTTGAGATTGTTGCTGTCTAAGATGTGTTTGTGTAGTGTTGTGTATGTAGTACAGTCTGTCCCATATATGTATTTCTAGAACAGTTTGTCCGGTAGATGTATTTCTAAAACAGTCTGTCCTACGGATGTATTTCTAGCACTGGTCTTGTACAGTATATCTTGACCAGTCTGTCCTATAGATGTATTTCTAGTGCAGTATGTCTAGAACAGCTTGTCCTATAAATGTTTGCCAAAAACAGTCTTTTTTAAAAAAAAGCAAGTAGCTTGATTGATGTTGTAAATTCTTCCACTCTGCTGTAATGTAGCGAGAACACCATGCATAATTTTCCTGTCTTTGCAAATTGATTAAAAAAAAAAAAAATTCTTTGTTTAGGTACAGCTACACAGTTCTTGACGGAGGAGATCTTGACTAAAGTGATAGATGAGTGTGAAGCGAGAAACTCATGGTCCAAGCTCAATCATGTGATAGGTTCAGTTTTTAACAATCCAGAGTCAATTTTGCTGAGTTTCCGCAAAGCTTCGCCGGCGTCAGAACCAGTCGTGGACGAGGCAGCCGCGACAGACGAGAGCTCGGCGACCACGAGTCAGGCGTCAGACGGCGACTCGAGCGGCTCGAATCTCCCCGTGCCGGAGTCCCAGAGCGGCCCGGCCAGCACAGACAAGGTCACGACGGACGGCCACCACGACGACGACATGTCTGTGGATCTGCCGTCGCTCCGGCGCGCCTACCAGCGTCTGCTGGACGTACCGGACCAGCCCTTCCAAGGCGCGCTGGTCAACGCGCTCATGATCCTCTCCCACACCCTGGACATGGAGCTCAAGTACAAGGACGCCCTGGCGCGCCGGCCGGACTACATCAACGTATTTGTCATTGTGATGGAGATTCCCATGCTGCACTGGCCCGAGTACCTGGTCAACGCCTTCCCCTGTCTATGCAGAGCCCTCGGCTCCATGCCCCTCAGTGGCCAGGCCAGGCTGGCTCGCATCTGGGCCACCTACGGGAGCGGCCGCCTGCAGGAGATGGTGCAGGGTCTGCAGCAGATGATCACAGTCAAGGTAAGATATTTGGTTATTGTGTCTTAAATGTCTTAACACTTTGCAGTCACTTGGCACAATAATGCGACGGTGAAAATTATTCGTTCCAGTCACCTGGCGCAGTTCTTTTTGAGCCAGGCCCGAGAAGTCCGTTGTAGTCACTCTCCTGGCTGGGTGACCAGATGGGGTATTTTGTACTGCTGGCTGTGTGACTGCAAGGTGTTTAATTGAAGTACTCAGTTTTACGGTTCTTGAAACACATTTAGGTCATTTATGTGCCCTTGATATTAGAGTCAGTTTAGTTTTAGTAGAGGTTTTTCGACGCTCGATACTTCATAAGGTCATATGACAGCCAAAGGGCAGATGTCAACAGAGAAATCTAGTACACTTATGCAGTTACGAACGCTGTAAAACCTTACTAAAACTAAACTAAGGTACTATTGAATGTTTAGAGTACATTATGGCACAGAATTTGATGAATAAACTACTATGTGTGCCATGTATTTTTTTCTTCCTCTCCTCCCATATCCTATCTCTATCATGATTTTTTTTTCTTTCTCTCCTCCCATAATATAACCTATCTCTATCATGACATATCTCTGACATGGTTTTTTTTTTTCTTTGTTGCCCTCCCATAACCTATCTCTATCATGATGTTTTTTTTCTTCCTCTCCTCCCATAACCTATCTCTGACATGGTGTCTTTTTTTCTTTGTCTCCTCCCATAACCTAGCTCCTGTCCTGATGGTTTTTTCCTTTGTGTCCCCCTCCCCTCCTCCCCTCCTCCCCCCTCCCCCAGGTGATAAACAATGAGGGTCGGTGGAGCCAGTCGTTCCAGCCAGGGGACGACATGTCCATCACGAGCGCCACAAGGGTGCTCAAAGTGATCTACTACGCCAGCGTGCTCGGGGGTCACATGGACAGCCCCGAGCTACTGCGGGAGGAGGCGGAGCTGAGCCAGCGTGAGTCCATCCAGGAGCACATGCAGGGCGCGTTCGGCATGGAGCCCAAGGACTCGACTCCGCCCAAAGAGGACCCGCTGGGGAAAGAGCTTGGCGTGCAGGTCATCAACTGCCGCGAGCCCTTAGTCCCGTTTGAGGACTTCATCAACGAGCCGCTGAACGACACAGTGAACATCTACCAGGACTACACCAACAACAAGTTCTCTTTCGTGCCCTACTCTTTCATCCTGACCACCGCCTCAAAGCACAGCAGCATGTACTACGAGAACAGGATCCGCATGCTCAGCGAGCGCCGCACGGCCTTCATCCAGACACTGGTCAGTGGCGGCCCGCCCAACCCCTTCCTGCGGGTGCGAGTCCGGAGGGAGCACATCATTGATGACGCTCTTGTCAGTGTGAGTATTATGTTTCTGCTCAGCTGTCAGTGTGAGTATAACATAGCCGCTGAGCTGTTGACTTGTCAACTGTCAGTGTGAATATAGTCGCTTCTCGTTTCCTATCAAACATCTATCGTCCTTATCTCCCCTTCTCTTTTTTTATTTTTGTTACTCTCTTGTAACACCTCTTATCTTCTGGCGCTCATATGACCGTATGCTGTTGCGAGCGCTGAAAACGTCGACTAAAAAAAACATGTGAGTATAATATAGACGACACCCAAGTCAGTGTGAGTACGGTATAGCTGCTCGGTTGTCAGTGTGAGTATAGTGTATCTGCTCAGCTGTCAGTGTGAGTACAGTATAGCTGCTCTGCTCTTTGTTTTGTGTCTCTCAGTGTGTTTATGGGTGACCTGTATGTCAAATATTTGTTATGTGTCTCTCAGTGTGTTTATGGGTGATCTATATGTCAAATATTTGTTATGTGTCTCTCAGTGTGTGTATGGGTGACCTATATGTCAAATATTTGTTATGTGTCTCTCAGTGTGTGTATGGGTAACCTATGTGTCAAATATTTGTTATTTGTCTCTCAGTGTGTGTATGGGTGACCTATGTGTCAAATATTTGTTATGTGTCTCTCAGTGTGTTTATGGGTGACCTATGTGTCAAATATTTGTTATGTGTCTCTCAGTGTGTGTAGGGGTGACCTATAATGTGTCAAATATTTGTTATGTGTCTCTCAGTGTGTGTATGGGTGACCTATGTGTCAAATATTTGTTATGTGTCTCTCAGTGTGTTTATGGGTGACCTACACGATACGTCATACGTTTGTGTTGTGTGTCTCTTTGCTTGTTTTTGAATGAATGGATGACTTATCCACGAACCGTTTGTCTGTTGTCCATCCAGCGTTTTTTTGCTTTCTGGATGAATGAATGACATATATTATCCATGAACCGCTTGTCTGTTGTCCGTCCGGTGTGTTTTTGGATGACGTATCCGTGAACTGTTTGTCTGTTGTTGTCCCCCAGCTGGAGATGACGGCGATGGAGAACCCGAGTGACCTGCGCAAGCAGCTGTTTGTGGAGTTTGAGGGGGAGCAGGGTCTGGACGAGGGCGGCGTCTCCAAGGAGTTCTTTCAGCTCATCGTGGAGGAGTTGTTTAATCCAGATATAGGTGAGTGCTGGCTTTAAAGAGAGGAGAGAGAAGAGAGTGCTGGCTGCGGAGAGAGAGAGAGAGAGAGAGAGAGAGAGTGCTGGCCCCGGAGAGTGAGGGGACCCCCCCCCCC